CCGACGCCGCCGCCGCTGCCGCCGCATCTGCCTCCACCTCATCCGCAGTCGTCGCCTCAGCCACCGCATCCACTCCATCTTCCCCCAACATGGCCCAATCCTCCAACATCGATATGACCGCCGTCAACACCCAGTCTGTTGACAACCTCGCCCGCGAACTTACGGGCGAACATCACCAAAATCATTGCCACCGATATCGGCAACCTCATTCGCATGATGTCCTCTTTCCAAATGGACATCCGCGCGTCCATCACCAAAATCGAAAACAATATCTCTGGCCTATCCGACCGTGTGACCTCTACCGAGCATCAAACCCTTGCAATCATAGTGGTCACAACCACGTCACCCTCCTCTACAACCGTGCCCACATCCACCGCCCTCTCCGCTAGCACGTCCTCCACACCCCCGCCTTCATCCACCACTTCCTCCACCATAGTCACCCAGCCGAAAACCCCCGCCGTCACACAGTCGTCAACCATCCTCCCCCAATCAAAACCCCTCTTGACTTCGTCCGTTATCACCTCCACCATCCCCAACTATACCGAAACCATTCCACAAGCTATGTATCCCGCTCTTCCTCTACTTCCCCCAAATGCTCTCATCCCCACCAACCCCGCCACTGATTTCACCCTGGTCGACTCTTCCTCTCCCACCCTTGATTTCAACGCCCTTGCCGCCGCTAACCCCAGGAGGCAAAATCCCCCCATCATTCCGTGCCAACGAGATTCCCACCTTCTCAGGCCAACCCCATGAGGATATCTTCCTCTTTCTCACCAACTTCAACAAGCCTTCTCCCTCCACAGCATTCGTGTCGTCCACTGGCTCCCCATCACTGGCGGAAGGAAGTAAGTAATGAAGACTACTCCTATAGACAACGCTGCTCGCTGGTGGTACACCGATATGACCAATCGCCATCACACCTGTCTCTGACCTCACACCTTCCTTGAGTGGGCCACCCCCATCACCTCCACCTTCCGCCCACAGAAAACGGTCGACGACTACATCGACCAATTCTGTCGGCTCCAACAAAACGGCCCAACCGACCGTTTTGTGCAATACGTCCGCTCGCTTCGTCAACATATCCCCATCGACTTCGTCAGGGATTTCGCCTTCATCTCCCGCGTTAAGCGCGTATGCTGCAAAGACCTAGCGGCCACCCTTGCCCACAAGCCCCCCATGACCCTCACCGACCTCCTCACTCGTGCCCTCCAACTCGACCACATCCTCTCCCCCTACAAGACCGCACTTACATCGGCCCCTTCCCGCCCTCACTTCTTCCACAACATCACCTCCGAGGACACCACCTCCACCACCTCCACCACCTCCACCACCTCCTCGGACGAGTTCACCGCCCTCGACCCTGACACCCTCTCCGATCCACTAGACACCACATCGCTCTCCCCCGACGAACTCTCTGCCATTCACCTCATGTGAATGGAAAACAGAGATCGCTCCAGCCGCCCTCCCCCGACCACCCTCCCGAGCCGCCTCAAGAAGCTCACACTCGAGGAAAGGGCCCACCTTCAAGCAAAGGGTGGATGTTTCCGACGCCATCAATTAGGCCACCTGCAAACAGACTTCCCAAATGCTAGACATTTCACATGCCAGTCGGCAGCTCCCTGGCCCGTAGCCTCCACATCACCCCCCTCGGCAGGAGCGGGCCCCTCCTCGACCTGAACATTGTCCCCAGGTCTCCGCCCCGGCATCGACGACTAGTCTGCCGGCCACCCCATCGGTGACGATCTCCATCCCACTGGTGGTCTCCGCTCCGGCATCGACGACTAGTCTGTCGGCCACCCCATTGGTGACGATCTCCATCCCATCGGTGGCCCATTTGGCATCGACAATACGTCTGCCTCCCCCCTCCCCGGTGCCGCACCCCCCATCGGATGACCCCCAGGCGTCACAACCCTCGTCGCCTGACGCCCCCCTCACTGCCACTTGTTCCTCAACCCTCCTTCCGAATCCATCCTCTGTCACCTTCTCTGATGTTGTTGAGGAACAAGCCCAACACGATCGGCTTGTCCGATTAGGCAATGAACAACATCACCTCAACACCATTATCTCCACCGCCAACTCATCACGCTTTCACCTCAAATTCATCGCCGCCACCCTTGGTGCGTCTACAATTTCGGGCCCTCCTCGACATTGGAGCCACCAGAAACTTCATCACCGACGCGTGTGTCCGGAAAGTTGGTCTTACCTCTACTGGATACGACTCCCCGATTACGATTCGTTTAGGGGACAAAGACACCGCCGTCGTAGTAGACCACACGGTTCCCGAGACCACCATGACTGTCGGAACCCTCCACAGTCAGAGGTCTCATTCGATGTCATGCACTTAATGTGCGATATTGTTTTGGGAACACCGTGGCTGGACCACTACATGCCATATGCGTTCTACCCCAACTCCCTCCGCCTTACCAACCCCCTTGACACAACCATCGACATTCCCTATCTCACCTCCCCAAGCTCTGTCACCCCGCACCAATTCCTTCACATGGCTCGCACGAACCCTGACTCCAACTAGTATTGCCTTGTCGTTGATCGCGAGCGTCCCGAGGACTTGCTCCCAACGGACAAACCCGACCAAGCCCCCCCCTCCAACCCCGCCCTCACCTCCATCCTCGACGAGTTCAAGGACTTCTTGCCTGAGTCTTTGCCTGTTGGATTACCTCTGGATCGTGGCGTATCCCACACCATCGATTTGGAACCCGACCACTCTCCACCTTGCTGCCCTCCGTACCAACTCCTTGTTCCAAAAGCCGAAGAAATGAAGCGGCAACTCCATGAATGCCTTGAGAAAGGATTCATTAAGCCGAGTTCATCCCCCTTCGGCACAAGCTGCCTTTTCGTAAAGAAAGGCAAAACATCAGAACTTCGAATGTGCACTGACTACTGTGCCTTGAACCGGATCACGATCAAGAACAAGTACCCCTTACCTCGGATCTCCGAGCTTCTCGATCTACCCCGTGGAGCAAAGTATTTTACCAAGATCGACTTTCGCAGTGGCTTCCACCAGATCCGCAGCTAGGAGGAGGATACCCACAAGACTGCCTTTCGTTCCCAATTAGGGCACTACGAATTCCTCGTGATGCCCTTCGGCCTCACAAACGCCCCCGCCACATTCCAATCTACAATGAATCACATTTTTCGCGACCTCCTCGAAGTTTGTGTCGTCGTCTACCTCGATGATATCCTCGTCTATAGCCCCACCTTCGAGTCCCACCTTCAGCATCTCCGCCAAGTCCTCTCTATCCTCAGAGAGCAAAACTTCTACGCCAAGCTCAGCAAATGCACCTTTGCCGCTTCAAGCGTTGAACACCTTGGCCACATCGTCTCCGCCGAAGGTATCCGCATGGACCCATCGAAGGTCACCGCCCTCGTCGAGTATCCACCTCCTAAGACCCTACTCCAACTCCGATCATTTCTCGGCCTTGCCAACTACTACCGCCCCTTTATCCGCAACTTCTCCAACATCTCGTACCCTCTCCACAAACTCACCCACAAGGACGAACCCTTCACTTGGAACGACCGCCGCCAAAATGCCTTCGATGTCATCAAACAACTCATCACCACCGCCCCCGTCCTCAAGATCGCTGACCCCACTCGCCATTTCTACGTCACCACCGACGCCTCTGACTTCGCCATTAGAGCCGTCCTGTCCCAACATTTTCCTCATGACACCACCGAAACTCCCTCCATCAAGGAATCCCCTACCCACCCCGCGGCTCCACCACGCGAATACCCCATTACCTTCGCCAGCAAGAAACTCCTTCCTGCGGAAATGAAATACCCCTCCAACGAGATGGAGCTCCTCGTCGGCGCCCCGATCACAAACCCCCTGACAAAGTTTGCACCACAATGACACATATCCAACTCCTCCCGTTTCTTCACCATCGCTACACCCAAGGCTATCTCTCTTGCCCAGACTTCGCCACCATCTACAACACGCTTCGTGACCTCAATCCTGTCCCCGACTACTCCCTCCATGACAATCTCCTTTACATCGATACCAAAGGCACTCGCCGGCTTTGCATCCCTGACGCACATGGTCTCCGTACCCAACTTTTGGTCGAACACCACAATGCCAAGACTGCCGGTCATCTTGGGTTCTAGAAAACATTTGACACCATCTCCCGCTACTTTCACTGGCCTCCCCTGCTCGCCGCGTCAAAGCATACATCCGCTCATGCTCCATGTGTCAAGCCGTCAACCCCTCAAACCGCACCAAGCCCGGCAAGCTACAATCATTGTCGATCCCCACCCACCGGTGGCAGTCCATCTCGCTCGCCGACGTCAAAGCATACATCCGCTCATGC